GCACCGCCCGGCAGGACACTCTCCCGTGCCGGACACCCCGGTTTGCCCGCTCGGCGATGCCGGGCCCTCGCTGACCGACGCCGCTGCGGAATGGGGTCACCCCCAGCGCTTTCCCAGAAGCTGAAGTGTCGCTGAATTTCGGGGAGCCCCATACCCCACGGCCCGTCCCCGCTCTCAGACCGAGCACCGGGTGCGGCTCCCCCTGTTTTGGCACCGTCGCTGCCCTGGCGACATCGCTGTTGGCGAGTGYTGCCAGCGCCACCTTCCTCTGCCTTTAGAGGACGCTAAAATTCCCTTTCGCCATCTGTTCCAAGCAAAATCCTTTACCTGCGGATCCCCGTTCCCTCCGGACCGCCCCCGCATTGCCCGGCAAATGAAACCGCAGCAGATCCGCAGCGGGCTCGGTTACCGCGGCCAATGCCGCCCTCTTGTGAGTTCATTTATTTTAGCCACCATCGCAGTCACAATAATGACGCCAGGAATTAATAACGACCTGACAACCAAATAATAATGTTATTCCAATCAAGGAATAACGAGGCTCGGTCGTGCTGGGGCTTCGACCATCAGCTACCATTAAAAAATACAAAATKAAAGGAGTCTGCTTCTCTGAGAGCTTAGAGGCATTGCAAGAAGGCTGAAATCAGCCCCAAAAGTAGAATATTCAGTGGCGCCGTTGTGCAGAATTTTGTTTTCCTCTTTAAACACATAAACAAATGTAAAACCTGGTAAACTGGAAAGAAAAAAAACCCTCAGCATTTCCAGGTTTGACAAGGGGACAGTGAAACTTTTCAGTTGGGTGTTGTGGAAGTGGAAATACAGCTGGGAGTTCTGGTGAACAGCACTGCCCCATTGCTGCCAAGAGAAAGGTGTCGCTTCAAAGGGATGTTTGTGTCAGCTCTCACCCTGTACACAGTTTAAATTCACATTTGTCATTCTCAGCTGGCTGCTGTCTTTAATCCTGTGGTACCTGCTGGTGCATCTCAGTGAGCTGCAGCCACCTGTCTTGGCCTCTGCTCCACTCTTGTGTTCCCATAGCGCATCCTTTTCCCCAGAGGTGACTCGTGACCCTCTCTGCAGCCTCCTCCAGCTTTTTCCTTCTCCCACATTTCCTTTGCCAGGAGCCATAACCAATGAGGCATTTACACAAAAGAGAGCAGAAATCCATATAAAATTCAGTGTTTCAAACACCCCTCCCCCACATAAACGGCTGAAAGGAAAACCCTTCCATTGGACACGGATTTCATGGAAGTCCTTGAACGGTGACAGATGAGAGCTGCCACACAGATCCAGGCTGCACTGGCTCTGGCCACGAGGAACAGCAGTGATCAGGGCTGTGCTGGGGGCACAGTGGAGGGGCTGTGAATCTGTTTCCCCAAACATTCAGGATTTTCCTTTATTTGGTTTTTCAAAACCCTGGCAGTGTGCGGTCCCTGCTGCTGCTCCTTCCCCATATGGACAACATTTGTCTGCTGTTTGCTCAGCCAGCTGCAGTGTGTGCTCGCCCCAAACCCTCTGTTTATAGCTGCATCCTGCCACACACGACAGCACCACTGAGTAGCCACATCCTGCTCGCTCCAGACCCAGCACAGACAAACTCCTTGAGCTCCACCACAGCCCCACTTGAGGAGGGAATGCTTCCCCAGGAGCTGCTTCCATGGYYGGGCTCCAGCCCAGCTCACCCTGARGCASAGCCAGCACTCCTGGCTGCTCTCAGAGGCTGAGTGTGCCAAGGTCCTGCAGCCCAAATAAAACTTTGCGTGTTTAGTTTCATCTGTCTGTCTCCAATGCTTGCCCCAAGCACAAGGGCACCTTCCATACGGGAGCAGAACAAAGATTTAACCCAAGTTCCAAGATTTAACCCAAGTTTGCAACCCAAGTGGCAGCGGTGTGGGGAGACTCTCACCCCACCAGAGGCTGCAGCTGGGTGACCCTCAAAGCTGCTTCCAGCTCTGCATGTCCTTTTGCTGCTGAATACAAGAGACACACGAGCAAATCCCGGCGTTCCCCCCACCTGTTAGGAACAGGAAAAGCAATTTCCAGTGAGCACCAGTAACAGGAACACTGCACTGCACAGAAAGGGGAGGAAGATTCCAGAAGGAGCTGTGTATATCAGCCACACTCTCCCCCAGGACACAGTCACGCAGGGGAGTTGGGTACCAGCCCAACCCTTCCCCAACATCCTGCCAGATCAACACACTGAGGCACTGAGAGAACTCATGCTTTAATAGACACTGAAATCACAAAGAAGAAAGGCCAAATGCCTTAGCAATTTCAATAAAAATATGAAAATCTTTTTACATGGTAAATTTCATAATATAAAAAGTTTAATGCTGTCTGGAAACAGAGTTTTAATTTACAAAGAAAGTCCATAGAGGCCAAACATGGCTAACACTGCACGTAGGGAGAGCGAGTGCTGAAGGGCTGCTGCTGGGAAGCCTCTGCTGACCATCCTCTCTGGGTCACTGTCTCCAGTGCTCTTCTGAAGGGGTTCTGCAGCTGAGGGGATGAGTGCCCACACACAGTGCAGCCCTTCTGGGCAGCATGGCAATGCAATGAACCCRAAACTGCTCAAACCCATGATCACCATCCAGTTGAAACTACCAGTGCTTCCTAACAGATTCACAGACACCTCTGTGCCCCTGATCTGTTCTGCAACTTGGAAGAGATGTTCACAGAAAGAGCTTGCCCTAATGAAAGAAAAGATGGCCTAGAGTGATATGTGTGGGTGTAGCACCCCCTCAATGCTTTTTCCTTGTTTCAGTAARGTATGATTAAAGAGAAGGAAAACCAATATCAGGCCAGAGGTACAGGCTAACCAACAAAATCAAATTAAACTAGAATTTGATCACAGGGGTTGTTTACTGTTCCCATTTAGTTGGAGCTAAAGACAATCAACAAAAAAAATCTGAAATCTCACACAGTAAAACGTACAGGGCAAACCCAAAACATTCTATGGCCTTGGGACATGGTTGCATGTGGCAGGTTTTATGTGAAAGTGGTTAATACCTAATTGTTATTGCTCACTGTATTACGCAGTGTTGTCACTTGTACCATGCACAAATACAACAACGACAAATGCATTAAACCCACAGAAGGAATTCTAACAGCAAATGGAGAACGCGTGATTTTCATTTCCTGAATTTCTCCACGTATTGGGCAAACCTGATAAAACTCTTTTTTTTTCTTCACAAAGGGGTCGTTTCTCATTCAGGAGGTGGAGGAGTGAGGGACAAGRAGTGTGCAGTGTCTCCCAGCCACGAGTAAGCATGCATTTCATGGCTCCTGGCAAGCCAATGGAAGTGACCCGTGCCAAGTCAACGGAGACCTATTTCCCAAAAGACTTGTTCTAGTGACACTCACCTTCCATATTTATACAACATCAAATTCCCAAATACTGAACTTTCTCTACATCTGAACCCTTCCCTGCTTCTAATGCTCCCCCCTCCTTAAAAACAACAACAGAAGAACCACTCCCCCACACCCCCCACCCCGATTTAGCTCTGTTTGAAAGCTTTAAGCCAGCATGAAACCTGCTGGAGAGCAGAAATGGGTTGTAACAAAACGGCAGCGTAGAATTTCTACAAGTTAAAAGATCCTTTAGTTATGGAAGTAAACTACAACAAAGAGGCTTATTTCTGGCATGTTTATGCAGCACTACAGGGAGTATTTGCTGTTGCTATAAACAAAAAGCTGCCCACTTCCATCCTGGGTGTTCCTGGGATGTCGTTTCGAAACGTTTATGCTGGTTAGGAACAGAGCAGGTCACATGAAGTCTCTCAGCAGTCCTATGACCACAGCAAGTRGCATGATCAACAGCATCTCTGTCTCCACTAGGGTGGAGATGCTGTGCTGACTCATTTTGGCCCACYATTCTAATTTTTCCTGCCAAATAACGCAAAGGTGATGTTTAGCACCAAACCATCACAGGTAGATGTCATGTACAGACAAATAACTTGCATCATAATGAGTTGAACAGATTAATTCAACTCTTCTGCTACATTGTGCATGAGTAGGTAACTACTCCTTCTCTCTGCACTGAAAACTTTGGTGATCCTCCTCCCTCATTAGCTGGCTGTAACAACCCAGCCCAGTATCCTTTGCCTTTAGTGCTTGTGTTCATTCTTTGTGACATATAAAGGAAAACATTCTCCCAAAACCAGCAGATTCCAGAATATTCTCACACCTACCATCTGATTATGCCTTGTGAGTAAGCTGAGCCTAAGCAATTTAATCTTTCTGGATCAGAACTGAATTCTCTGCCCTGCTATCATTCTTTTCCTCCAATATCTCTAAGAAAATCACAAATTTTCAGACCCACATTTACAACAAGAGCATCCAGCCACACTTAGTACAATTCTCTGCATCAGCGACGTACCTCTGGTACATCCACAGAGCCGCCTGCACTCTCCATTCAGGGAGTCAGCTGCAGACTGGAAGGTGACTTAAGATCCAGCTAAAACTCAGGGCTTGATGAATTCAGCCTCACAACACCTCTGTGAGGTAGGTAGATAAATGTTACTATCCCCATTTAGATAGAACGGGAAGACGAGGCACGGAGAGGTGAAGTGATTAGCCTTCAGTCACTCAGCCAGTTCTGGGAGTGCAGAGGAGACACCAAAAGCCTTGGTGATCCAGTGCTCTGACTTGGTAGCCCRTGGCCTGTGAATACCTTGCGTGGATCTGAGCTCACGTGTGGGGTCGGTGCATGCAGGCGATCACGGGGATCCTGATCACATCCCTGCATTCAAYAGCCTCTTGGAAACATCTCCACCCCAACCCCAAACTCCTAAACCCCWCCTAGCCCAGGGAAGCTGACTGTTCACATCACCCTGGGGGTACTCTTGGTCACCTTTCCTCCCCATGTCAGAGGGCACTCAGGTTCTGCATCCAGCCCCTCCGCTCGCTGCCTCGTGCTCCAGCTCCAACTGCACCCACAGCTGCTCACACTGCTACACCTGCTCCAAAGGAAACCTCCAAATTCCCACAGCAGGGAAAAGGTTCATAGACCTGCCTAAGCTGAGCCATGGAAATGATTTAGCTGGATCAAGGAGGGATTTTTTGGTCAGGTGATGTCTGAATCACAAACACTGATGTCACACTCTTGCCTGCTGTGGAACTGCAAAATGATGTTCTGAGCTGCAGCAACAGTATCCTTTTCTGTGCTCACCAAGCAGAGACACAACTACTGCCCAAATACTTGCCAGGATAAAAGATTCGCCTTCACAATGTGGTCAGAGAGACCAGAGCACTCAATAAAACCAGAATTTGTCCCTCTGACACACACTCACTACCTTACACTCAGGCTCACCTGGTTCATTAGGCCCCAAACATTTCCTTTAAGCAGACCAACCAGCTAAGTCTCATCAGAGGAGTTTCCCTCCAGAAAAGTTACCTGAGATGCAGATTTTAGAACGGGGCACCTCTCTCCTCTCGTCTTTGTTTCACCAGCCTCTAAATGATGCAARAGAACTGCCAGATCCTGCTGCTATGGAGTTTTACTGACAGCAGTTTCTGGTTCGGCCAACCTGGCAGAGGTGTCTAGAGGTGTGTGATCTTCTCCTCTGTCAGCTTTGAAAGCAGTTGAGTAAATGGCTCATCTTTCTCCAGGCAGAAACTTTATATATGTTCTTTGTGGTACACAGGAACGTTCTGCCTCCTCTCCCTTTCCCCTCCAACCCCTGATATGTATAATTTCTGTACAAAAAGCCAGCTGTAAAACTTCTGGATAAGAAATACAAGGAGGTGGCTTAAAAGCCAGTATTTAATGAACAGACTACCAGATGCTTTGCACCTGCTGCTTCAAATACTGAACACTACAAAGAACCTGTTATCAGGTGAGTCTGGCCAAGGTCTTGATAAGGGAAACAAAAACCCATGTGTGTGGGGTTGTGTGCCCCCACAGTGACAGCAGGCCAGCCTGTCCCATCCCTGGGCACTGCCAGCTGAGGGCATCACCATGGCTGCTTAGGTACTGGTTCTGTTTTGGTAAAGGCAAGTGGGCAGAAGCAAATACTTGAACAAGACTGTAAGTCATCAGCTGGTACTCGGGAYATTTCAACATTTGGAGGAAGGGAAAAATCTTCCCGGTGACAAAAATTTATACCCATTCCCAGCTGGCAGCCTCAGGGGACGCACRGTTCCTAGAGTGTTGCCAGGTGAGGAATGAGCTGATGTCACGGCATTTGTGGTTTCAGGGTGTCTGTGTCCATTTGGAGGGATCTTCTGTGGTGAAGCAGCAAGGTGTTGCCCAATAGATAGGTCCTTCAGTTCCAGCTTCTCTGCACTTTCTTCTTTGCTGTGCCGTGGAGATAAATTGAGCAAGCTGAGGACATCTTTCTTAGAAGTCATTGTTCCAGGAGCTCCTCGGAGAATYTTTATTGGGCCAGTGGAATGGTGAGGAGTGCTTTGCCAGAACATCTTTAAGTTGTGAATTGCTTGCACTTTTTCATCGATGGCAGCCAATTTTAATTTGTCTATGTCTGGGGCATCAGCTGGGCTTGAGCGAGCAGAACCAGCTGAGGAATAAGAAAGAGCAGGAGATGGAGTGCTGCCACCAGGAGACTGATGCCCTGAGCTCGGAGAGATATTTCTGGGTGATTTAGAAATGTGAGCACTGTAAGGAGAGCTGGGATATTTGAGTTTAAAGGGAGGCTGCTCAGTTAGGGACCCATGCGAATCACAGCCTGGAGACGGCTGCCCACTGTACTGACCTGTGCCTTCTCTGTTGGACATCTCCGACGTTGTGGGGCTGTTATAGCCAGAACTCACCTTCTGAAGGGATGAACTCCTCGTTGGAGGCTTTGGTTTAATTGCAAGAGGTGAAGATTGGTTCCTCTGGCTGGAGCTGAGCGGGCGGCTGAAGGCGCTGGTCTCCGAGGAGCGGAACGCGGAGCCGCCGGCCGGGGTGGGAGCYCCATCATCCGAACTGTTGCTCTTGYTTAKCTGGCTGCTGCTGCTTCTCTGGAGGCGTTCAACAGCAAGGAGGTGACTCTGAGTTTCCTCCAGAATTTTTTGGGCCAACTCTTGCGGATCAAGCTTTGGATTGCTGTCCTCCTGGGATTTGACGGTGCTGTCAGTCTCRGTACTAGACTGGTCCGATTCCCCAGTATCGGAACTTGCGAGTTTCCCAACTTTTTGGAAAGGTGAGTTTGGGCTGGGGATGAGAGTCATTTTAACAGGGGAATTTGGAGTACTTATGCTCCCTTTGGAGTTGACAGACACTTTAATGCCTCCATTCTGACTAGTTTTGRGCTGTTTGTGATCAGGGGAAAATCTTGGTTTTATGTTTTCTTGGTAACTGGCCAAAGGCTCGTTGCTGATTATAGAGAAACCTTCATACTCTTCCTCATCTTTGCTGGCTGCAGTGGCTTGTGGTGACAGCTGGCTCTGAGCTGCAGACCTGTGTGGATARATATTCTTGGGCCTCTCATAATCCTGGCGTCCTCTGTGTCCTGCCCCATCCAGAACATTCTCTGGCTTGGAAACAAAGCTCATRGAAGAAGCAATGGAGCTCAGGCTGTACACAGAAATGGCATCTGAGGCAATGCTGTCTGGACAGGTAGGAGAGAATGGAGGGTTTTGATACTGGGGTGCAGGGTTGGAAACAGACTGAGCAGAAGCCAGTGACTCCAGTGATGAGGAACTGTCCAGGCTAAGGCGCTTGGGCAGCTCTGTAGAATCTAAAAAAGAAGAGACAATAGTATGTACAAACATGCCCCATACGCCATAAAATCAAATAAAACCAACTAACATTCTATCAGAATTAAGAGAAAATGCCACAAAACATGCTCTCAGGCTCTAGCTACTTCAGAACAACTAACTACTACTTAGGAAAGGAAAAAGAAGTGCACAGCCAGGGGAAATGCCCAGGCAAGAACTTCTGTCCAGGTATCTTAAATGGAAGTTGTCAGTTCATTATCATTTTATATCTCAAAACCAAGAATGATTTGTATGCCCTCCAGTTACTGCACTCTATTCCAGCTTCTACTCAGACAATTTTTTCCCATATAAAAGCATTTGCTCCAGTTTCTGGATCACATTTGGYCTGTGTGACACGTGTATGATGTGTGACCTCTGCAAAGGTGTGAGTGTGAGATTTCAGCAGAAGCCATTCTGATCAAATCATCAGGCGACACAAGAGCAAAAACCACTCTAAGCAGCTTTACCAAAAAGTGCCAGCAAGGATTGTAGAGCAAAGTGCATGGTCCTCCTGGTAGCTTGTTTCCCAGTTTTCAGAATGACCTCCTCTTGGCCAACTTCACAAAGGTCAAAACCTGCAGTGGGACATGGAACAGAAAATCACAGCTCACAGAAAGACATATGTCTCAAATAAGAGAAATCTCATTTATAACACAGGTAGAACAGAGAGGTATGACAGCTGCAGCACCTTTAGAAGAATGATTTCACCTCTCATGTAGTTTGTTGTCTGTTATTTATTAGTCACACCTTCTCCAGGTGTTGGGCGCTTTATGGCACTGCACTGGGAACACACACACTCATCAACAAATTGCTCCTGTCAACACTTTTTCAATTGCAAATTATTTGGAGTTGTTGGGGAATGATGTACCAAACACATCTCAGGGGACAGTGTCCTACATGCCAAACCATTTACTATTAATTCCAGGTTTTCTCCAGAGAAATGGAGCTGAAGAGCATAGACCAAGGAATTTGTCAAATGCAGGCTGGGCTGCAGCAGGCACACAAGTGTGAAGCTTCAAGCCCACATGCAAGACACCAGCAWTGGGATTAGAGAGACAACAGCAAGAAGTGTTTTCCTACCTAGAGCTGCCAGAAACTCATGACAACCAGGCAGCCTCCAGAGCTGGACACTGATGGAGACCTGGATTGGTGCAGAGGGGAAATCTTGCTCCTTCTCACCCGCCTGAAGTTGAACCAGGACTTGATGCAGCTGAAGRCAGCAATACAGACATTAGACATTCCTTACAAGTTACATCACTGCTTCTCTTACAGTCACAGATAAGGCAATGCCCTTTCCCTGGACACCCTTTCCCTGGACACCCAGTTTGGCTGCTGCTCCTGAAGAGCAGTGAGATGGGAAGGTCTGGGAAGAAGGACAGTTCAGGGAYAGCAACATCAGACAGACTGGAACAGCAGCAAAGGCAGGGACAGACCAGGGGTGAGGGCTGGGGGGTGGCCAGTGGAAACTGAGCAAGAAGGAAGCACAGCAGGAACATCTGTGAAGGGAAAGAAAAGGAAAGAGATACTCTGGGGCTGCTCACAAAAATATACTAAAGCCCATTCCATGACTGAGCCATACTCCTTAYGCAAATCCCAAGAAACTCATTAACTGGGCAGAACAAGTCATATGAAACCATGGAGGACTTTCCTAATATCTCCACAGCCTCYAGGAAAGAAGTTTCTCAACTGTGCCCAAGGGACAGGAGTAGCAAGCTAGAGAGAAAATGTGTTTATGAAGATCTGACACAAATTAAGATGCCAGGATCCCGTGTAATTCACCAACACAGCCAGGACAGCAAGGATGGAAAGCCATTAATCAGGGACCARCTAAGCTCAGGACCACCCATCTCTCACAACCCACAAAAGCTTACAGAGGCCTTTTTCCACAGTAGCTTTGTGGAGCAAATGCCAGGCCTGAGGTTGCAGCACAGGGCACAGGTCTGCAGTGACCTTGGCACCTCACCCTGCACCGCACTGCCATCCCCGTGCACATCATACTCACCATTCCCACCACATTTTTAACAGCCTTCGGGCAGCAGGCAACAAGAAAGGAAAAGAGGAGAAAAGAACATGGGTTACTCTGTGCTAGAAAGCGCCTGTGCTGAGGAACCTTGCAGGGACACAGCCATGCACGGACCAGCACCGTGACTGCGAGATCTCTGTCCAGAGAAAGAAAGGAGCAATGGGAACGGCCTGAGCTGTGAATCCAACAGCGTGGGAACAGGCAGCTGGAATCTGGGAGTGCCCAGCTCACGACAGCTCAGACACTTAGCAGGCAGACACTCGRGCCAAGCCACACTCTGGCAGGAGGCTGAACATAAAACAGCCCTTGTCTCGTTTCCTCTGGGACACGGTACTGGCGCTCACTGCAGTCAGCAATCCCGAACTTTTCCTTGCACATGCAGTAGCACTGAGGTTCTCTCTGTTGTGGCTCCTGCCTTTTCTTTTGCATTCCTGCTTTTTCTTTTGCATTTTCTATCCAGTGACACAGCTCAGGCTCCCACCTTGCTGCCTCACTAATGCCACGAGCACCTGCACCCCTGTGATGCCGGTCACCCACAAGGGTAAAACAGTGAGCAGCACCCACTGACTGAAATGTCTGACATCCTGCTTCTGTCTGGAACAAAGTCTGCTTTCCTCTGGGACAGGCAGAGCTCCAGCTGCTCACTCCATGAACTGCCGAGAGGCAGGAGAGGAAAAAAGCAATAACCACAAAGGAGGGGAGAGCTGAGCTGAAAACCAACATTKAACAGGATAAACTGGTGCAAAAGGGAATTCTGTCAGGGGTTTGGGCTATGGAAGAACATTTGCAAACCCAGTGCAATATCCCTGCYACTATTTACTCTGTGGAACAGCAAGGAAAGGGTGACTGTGTCTTTTGCTACTTGTGCACAGCCAGCTGAATGTTTTTCCTTGGGTAATTTAATTGTCTGGGGCAGAGTAGCAATCATGAAGCCACCTCATTAGCACTCTAAAGCATTTTGAGGGAATGCTGTCCTGTCCTCTTCACACCCCTCAGACCTGGCCTCCCTTGGGTGGCCATGAGGGAGGTAACCCTGCAGTTAACCACACACATCCTGGGCACTGATGGGAGCCAAGGCAAGAGGCAAAACACCACCAAGGACAACGGTCAGCAAGGTCACTGGAAATATCTCTTACTCTGCAGCAGATCCTGACAGGATCCTAACAGGAACCCTTTCCTTGGAGCAGATTCATTCTGGCAGGCTGCCAGAGTCACTCAGTGGGTAACAGAGAARCTGGGGCTCTTGTCTGGCTTTCTGTGCAGACTCTGTGATCGAAGACAGGGCAGCCCAACACCACACAGAACCACCCCCAGCTCCCCACCACAGTGCTGCCTGGAATGCTTCTGCATGGGGGAAGGGGAAAGACAGTGAGATAMAGGCCCATTCCCTGTGTGACTGTGTCCATGTACTCAAGCAGGCAAATGATGAAGAGACACCTAATTACAGGAGCACTCAGGACAGTAAGAACCATGGAATGGAAAGCAGCCAGGCTGGTGGCGCAGAGAAAGGTCAGGTTAGGCTAGGCATGCTCCAGAGACTGGGGAGAGGGAAGAGTGGGAAGGAGGTTGAGGGGAGCAGGGAGAGGTCCCATCACCACAGGCAGCACTGCCCTTCTCCTAAAGACCAGAAATCCTTCCCACGGAGCTGTGAGCACAGGCAGCAGCAGCTCAGTGAGTTTTCTGACAGAGCTTGCATTGTCCACAGTCAGCCATACCTTGGAACTTCAGTAAATGCAGTGGACMAAGAGCAGCCAACGTGGGCCCTGGGCAAGATGGCCAAACAGCAATTAGGGGTTTATTAATGACCCCACACTGCAGTAGGGATGCTGTTTTCACTTGCCACAGAACGGGGAGTCCCAAGGCCACGCAGCCCAGTAACCCACCTGAATATTTTCCTTCTGGACACACACTTGCATTCAARCAAACAGGCAAGTTTAGCATTTCAACCCTCAAGTCTCCTAGCAAGCTCTGGGTTGATAAACCAGGGCGTCAACCATTCTGCGCATTTCTGAATTTACTGACCTGGGAAGAGCCATTTGGAACCTGGTACTGGAGGAAAACCTCCTAACTCACCCTGTTGATAAGCTGCTCTCCTGTCTCTGAAGCTGTGATAAGTTTACAAAGTGCCTGAAGTGCAGGGTTAGGCAAACCTGAAAAACATCAGCAGAAACATCTGTATCTGTTTCTTGACTGCAAGAAATGCAACACACCTGAACAGAACACACACTCTGCTAATTCCTAAAACCTTTCTCCCACATCACTGGACATTGCAATTTCATTGCTGTCAATGAAAGCAGCATCAATTTCCAGAAAGAAAAAGGTCTTCCCACTTTGCACCTGCTGAGGTTTCCTGACTGAGAGCTGGGASAGAGGAACAGTCACATCATGTTTACCCGACCCAGCAGCAAATTATTCTCATCTGTGACAAAATTTTCAGTGAACATTTACTTTCAGAACTTCTCCCCAGTCCRATACATTGATTTCATTGATGTAAAACATCCCTGTTTCACATGCTGACATCACAGAAAGGTAGGAAAGGCTGCTATCTGCCTCTCTCACCTAGGAGGGACTGGATGGTGGTGCTGCACTGCTGCAGCCGGTCCCCGGGGTCCGAGGTTGGGAAGAACACTGCTGCTGGGAGGCCGCTGGCTGGCGGGTCCAGCCGAAATCCCACGGCTGTGAGGAGTGCCTGCCAGCCCGGGATGCCWCCAACTTTGTTCTCCACGCTCTGCTGGGAGGTGTACATGGAGTTGTGCTGCCCGTTCTGGATTCGCTGCAATGATTTCTCCACCTGTGRGGAGATGATGTTATTGTACAGGATGTTGTTGCTGATTGCCTCTTTTTTACACAGAGAAGAGACTGGAACAGCAGGCTGGGAGACAGCAAATCCAAGTTTGATCCTGGCCTCTCAGAAACTCCAGTAACTCAGCATTAACAGTTGTAACATCACAGTGATAAGTGTCAATATTCTCTGGGACACTGAGAACACAGGAAATGAGGTAGCATTTRTTTGGGATAGCTTCCTGTAAGCCTGGCAACTGCATTTCTCMCCAAAAGATGACTCACCTTGGGGTKCCAGCCTGCTTGTTACCCYACAAAGAGCCTGTAGCCACATGGCAAACAGGATAGAAATGAATGTCCACAAACCCCAGCAAGTGGGAAGAGCAGCAACAGTCACAGGTTTCTGTCATTCTATGGGTACTTCACACTCCTGTGAGACCACAGATGACAGCATTGGAAAGAAAAGTATTAGAAGTCATGAGTGATCATTCCAGCCACCTGGCAGTTGGCTCCAGTCCCACTGTTCCCCAGGACAGACTGGTGGCACAGATGGGGACAGAAGGGCCTCTTATCTTCCAAATATGCAGAGACAGCAGTGACTGTGCYCTGTGTTTCCATGACTGCCATGTTCATAGCTATTTCCCTGTATAAACAATTAATCCCAATGCTTACCTCTTAAGCAGAAACCCAATTCGACAGCTAATGCAAACCAGATGGGTCTGGGGGAGGATTCTGTCACAATACAATCTAAGATTTTGCTTACTTTGCCTCTTTTTGCACTGAACACTTCCTTAGGTGTCCCAGTCTTTCCACATTGAGAGTTTCACAAGAGGCTACATCATGGCAGGGGAGAGGGGATGAAGGAATACATAAGTATATTCTCAAGTGGCAGAGGCTGCACATCAGGGTGCTGCTCTGCCATTCATRGTTTGCAGGCCCACAGGTGAGGGTGTCTCAGCACTAGATGGTGCCTCCAGGCTGTGCCAGCCCTKCCTTTCCCTTACCAGATGAAGCAGGACACGCAGAGCATCACGGGCCCTTTCAGGGTGCTGCAGGATCTCYGTCAGGGCCTGTCCCACCAGCGAAGAAGGGCTGTTCAGCTTCATATCACTCCCAATAAGCATGAAGCCTGCAGGATTCAGAATGAGAGACAGTCAATCTCCTGTTGTTATGGAAAGTGCTCAAACCAGACGCAGATGTCCTCTGCCCTCAGACTGGTGAACAATGGTTCACTGCACCCTGCACAGGGACAKTCTTTTCCCAGAGCAGCTGCCCACTCCCTGCCCAGTGGTACAGACTGAACTTCTAGAAGGTTTCCAGATACTTCTTACTGTCCTCTGCTATTAAATCAATAGTGTCTTCCTTTACAAGCAAGCAGAAAACCACTGGATTGCAGCTAAACTTATCCAGTCATGCTCCGGATCTCCTCTGAAATCAATACATGCCAACACTGCTCGTAGAACAGAACTGAGAACATGAAAAGTTCTGKTCAGAAACCTGTCCTGGCTCTTGCACCATTCAATGCCAGACTCCCCAGATGTCAGCATAAGGAGCTCTACATTTCCCTTCTCATTCCTACAGTGAGGATGTAAATGCTTCTGGCTCTGGTGCTCTGTCCAAGACTCAGTGGTGGAAATCAGGGACTGTGAATGATCAACTCACACAGTACCATGAAAGGGGCAGTACTGAGACAGSCTGAGCAGCTGAAAGCCTCTGCTTGCTGGTGATACCGAGCACCGTGTCCACACTCGTTCTATTTTTGCCCAGGAAGTGCTCACTTTTGGGACTTTTTAGTGCTCTTTTCTTTTGAGACAGAAAGATATTGAAAGGAAGATAAAATCCCARCTGAACTGTGGACTGTAACCTGAACTCAGCTCACACCTGGCACTACCCGAACCACATCCTAATGCTGGACTCAACATGCCTGAAATCATTGTCAGCTGGACTCATTTTAACAAATTCCCCCTCCTCCAGCCATGTGCAGTATACACTAGAGCCATATTCACCACAGTTTCCTGAGCTAAATAACATGGTTCCTCTGCCTATGCAAAAATCAATTTGGGGAATTCCTGCAGCTTTCACAAACCAGGCCTCATGCCAGGAAAAAAAATTAGGTTATCTCTACATATCCCTGTAACAGCACTGCTGAACTCCAAGACTTGGTCATTCCAATCTCAATGATCTAATTGAGAGGGAGCAAGCACCAGCACTACACACAGAGCTGACACTGCTGAGATATTCCCAAGGGAAGCAAGGGAAACCTTTCTCCTAAAAGAACCAAAGGAATAAGCCCTACAAGGTTTATGTCACAGAAATCACAGCTATTTGTTGCTGCTGCTTCTAKCACCACTACTTCTGCCTCCTGCTGAAGTGTCACTAAATTTTCCATGAAAAACTCCTGTATGTGTGCTCCAGCTCACTCCATCCCAAGGACAAAGGAAGCATRAGCTTGGAGATTTCAAACATAGAGAATGAGCTGTTGTACTGCATTTTATTTCTTTCCAGTCATGAAAAACAATTTACCTAACAATTGCTTCCAATACCAAATCCATACCCACTCACTGTAACCTGTGAAATGCCAGTGAGTCCCATGACARTGACATTCACCCACACTCAGCTGGATTGGGGTCTGAGACACAGGGGCTGAATTCCAGGAAAGCACAGGGTTTCCTGCCAGCACTGCTCCTTGTTTAGCTCATAGAGTTTGGCAGCTCCCTAGAAACCCCACCTGATCTGTCCAGAAGAAAACTCTTCCTACCTGCCCAGTTGGCTGGATGGGAGAACTGCTTGCTGCTCTGCACRGTTTTCATTGCTTCCCCCAGGGCTGCGCTGGCTTTCATCCCGTTTAGGAGAGAAGAATAGAAGGCGTGCACAAACATTTTGGAAGCAGCCACAGGGATGGGCCACAGTGACACGAGGACACAYTGAGCCCCAGCAGCCAGGAATGCTCTTGTCAAGCCAATGACTCCATCAGAAGTGACTTTGCTGTTGGACTCTTGGTAAGAGCCAAGAACCACCAGCTTGACAGGAAGACGCAGATCCAGGACATCAGCTGCTGTAAGCAGGAACTCCTGAAGAGGAGGGCAGTCCGAGATGCTCTCCACATCACTGGCATCATCCTGCATCCTAAGAGATTCTGGGATTGTGTAGGGGTTCCCAAAAGAGCTCTTGCTGCTGGCTGGGTTGCTGTCAGTGTTGGGTGTCAGGACCAAAGCAGCCAGTTTCCAGGAGACGTGGGTTGCAAAGTGGACACATTCAGCCTGAGTGAGGGCACTCATGACTCTCTCTTTTGTTGATGAGCTGCCGACTAAGGGCTGACAGCCAAGTAACTCAGATACCATATATGCTTCCTCTTCTGCAGAGGGCATAGGTCCCCACAGCCACCTGTCCATAACTGCTGAAGGGAGCTTGGGGTTTCCTATAACAGCTGCCATTGAGGTAGAACTGGAGTAAGCAGGAGTATTCTTCCTCACGTGGGACTACACAGACAAARAGAAAGAGAAAATGGGGTTCAAAGATCTGGTTTTTATGGTGCTGGTAATAAAATATCCTGCCCCTTTGGCTCTGAACTGAAGTCTGGTTGTCATAATTACAGGAAGACTTTCCATTTCTTTAGTTTCTTCTGTTTAACTATTCCAAGGAACATCTCCATTTGAGTCTGGTCAAGATTTCCATCCCCAGATCTTGGGTGAACAGACAGGTAAGAACAGAAAGCAACAGATACAGCCCAAGTCCCTTTGAAGGCTGCAGCAGAGCTAAAAGCATAAAGAGGATTCCAGCTTCTCACATTACTGGAACAGTACCTGCAATACTCACTAAGTGGCTCCTCGTAGCTGCATTTCCAAGATCAGTGTCAGCACTGCCAGCAGCAGGCGCTGCATGCAGCTGATACTGAACAGAGCAGCAGCAATGCTGACAAGRGTCAGACCCTTCTGCTGTTCCACTGCCTGTGCTTATCCCACAGCAAACCAAGGCATGCAGCAAAACACTGCCCAGCAAGAGGAGATGTGCCTTGGTGCAYTCTCCCAGAGACCTGGCCATTAGAAATGCTGCTGCCAAAGCTCAGCATGAAAATAATTCTGCAGGGTTCACCTGTGGGATTTGCTTTCCCTCATAGCTTTGGTGTCATGAGGCATTAGTGGCCTTCCCCACAGTGAACATACCAGGACAGTCAGCCTGGCAAGGAAGCTCAGCACAGATCACAGACACCTGCATCTCTGTAGTCTGCATGTAGTTCCACACCCAGCACATGCAATCCTTTAGAGGAGGATATCCAAATGATCCAATCCCCTTGTCCTTCCTGGCATGCCTGGGGCTGTGAGTCTGTGCTGCAGGAACTACATCAGAACCCACTTCAGAGCTGTGGTGCTCAGTGTGCTCCTCAGACCCAGGGAGTGTTTTGTTTGTGGTTTCTGTTCTTGTGTCTGGCACAGCAGGACAGAKCTGCWGTTTCCTGAGCATGCACCAKCACCTGCASCCACAGGAGAGGTTCTGTGAGAGAGATTTGACAAGCAGGGTCAGACCTTGGAGCTGGGATTCAGCGACTGGATGGACGGCACTGCAATGAGGCTGAAGCGCTCGTAGAGGTACTCGTTGGAGGAGCTGCCCTTCAGCAGAGCRAAAGGAATGAGGTACAGCTCTCCCTCCAGAACCAGGATCAGCTGGCGGTGGCGGCCAACAGGCCCACTGGAATGCATCAAACCCTGGAAAGAAAGGAGAGAGAATTAGTTTGGCTCTTTCACTCCACCAGTGCCTGCACTTCCCARGCATCAGGCTCTGGTCTGGTTTGGAAACACCCACATCAGAACCACGAGCACACCTTGCTTAACCCCARCCACCTACATCTTGTCAATTTTTGTCATGCCCTTGTCCTTTGTCAGAGAATATTCTTTCTGATATTGAGTTTCTAGATAGCCATTTCCTCTGAAGAGCGAACAATCTACAGATTGTGTCCATGACCTGCACTTCACCTCACCATCAACCCAGAGTCACCAGGTYTACACAGAACATCTTATGGATGGAGAAGTGAAGCAGAGATCAGYCAACAGGGAACATGCAGCCGGGCACAAAAAGAGGCAACTGCTGCTGGCCCCAGGTAACTGTGGAAATTCATTAATCTAGTGTGTATCATAAAAACAATCAGTTTTCACCCCAGGAAAGTAACTTCAAAGCACTGAAATTTGCTCCAGCCTAAACACTGGCAGCCCACAAAAAAAGTATACAGGACCAGATCCTTGTCTCTAGATTCACAACTCTACATGGTCACCAAGGCCCCTTCCAACCCAGACTGTTCTGTGAAAACACTACACTTCAGAAACCACCCCCAAGCTGTCTATTCTTGCTTTCCCACACTGAGAGGGTTTTGGCAAGTGTGCCAAAGGCTTACTCCTTCCATGGGTCCTATCAATAAGTCGTAGAGAGCACGGAGTGGGGGCTTGGTGAAWGAAGTCTGCCTCCTTGGAAGTGATGATGTTCCATCCTTAACAGGMGACATGGTGCTGCTGAACAGGCTGGTCATGCTCTGGCAGCTCCTGTGGGCAAAAGCCAAGGGAGAGGTTAGCTGAGCTCCACTGGGGGCTGCCCTGACTTCTGACAGTGACATGAGCCAGGCCCTGTCCTCCAGGGGACTCTGCTCTGGAAAATGCTTCACAGGAGACCTTTAGCCTCCCATTCAGCTTCACGCCCCAGTGAACAGTGACAYTAATGCAGGATGAATCAGCTGCAGACAGCGGATGACACTGCTATGGAGCTTCTCTCCACACTCCAGTGCCTGCAGTGCTGCTCCCAGTTGCTCCTGCACATGTCTGTGTGGCAGCTGTGTGCAGGCAGGCGTGAGAGCYGCTGACAACTGACCCCAGCCACAGGAGGATTTGCACTTGGGCTGTGCACAGCTGACCCAGTGTGACACCAGAGGCAGTGTGACAACAGGCAAACAACAAGACATCAAGATTCTGCCTGCCCTCCTGCCRCTGCTGGGCAGCATCAGCACCTGGAGCCCATTGCTTTTTTTCTGAYATCCCCACAGAGCTCTGCACGTCATCTCCTGGCATCAGCAGCCACAAGTGACTGCCCTGCTGAGGAAATGCATTCTGGGCTCCCATTCTGGGCTCACTGTGCTCCCCAGAAACGTCATCCTTGGCTTGGGGCCATGAACAACCATTTTACGTGGTAAGGGTAACTTTGCAGAAAGTTTTAGCAGGTAGGCCTCAAAGGAAAGGCAGGGAGGCCTGGGATACACCCCAACCCTTTCTGATACAAATCAACATACAGACTGAGAAAATTGCATTTTCCCYTCTCTTTCTCAGCCTCCTCATGCCTAAAACCTTTAGCTCTCTGAAGAAAAAAGTGTTTCAACCACCCCAAGGAATTTCCACCTTATGGGTACAGGGGAATAACCTCAGAATGTCAACAGAAGCCTGGTGTCCAACAGCCCATGCTCTCTGACCCAGGGATTCCAGTGACAGTATGAGAATGCTGCTCCTGCTGCTGCTTAGAGCTGCTGAAAACTCCTCTGGGGGATTTGTGCAAGAGGGGATCAGCACAGGCTTGGCACTGTGTGCTCCCCTAAGACCCGTCTGCCCCATCACTGCAGCACCTGACTGAGCCAAGCGTGCTTGGCAGGCTTCAGCTTTATGAAGCACAGATTTTAAAATCAAATCAGGAAAGAAAGCCTGTGCTGGATATCCTAGTGCTCCCTCAGGACGTTGTGCCCTGATCCTCCCCGAGCAGCTCACAGACAGCAGCAGCACTTGCCAGCTCCATCATCCGTGTTCAGCGATGGTTACACACTCATTTTCTGCAGGGAATAGAGGTTTGATCACTCCAATCAGCAAAGCCCTCCTGCATCTTGGGTTTCCCTGCCAAGCAGCTCTAGATTTATTCCTTCACCACTCGGATTGCTTTTTATGAGAACAAAACCAAGCAAGCACCATAAATCTCTCCAATCTCCCGCCTCTGTGTGTGTGTGTGTGTACACAAAGAGTGAGAAAATCCACAGGGGAGGATGGAGAGATCTCTTGTGGCAGGGAGCCCTGGCCAGCCCACCTTTTCCTCCCAAAGCAGCCAACAAAAGGCTCCAGGTGGCTTGTCAGGCACCTGAATCCAAATCCTTTCAATGTGACAAGAGGGAGACTCTGAACTCTGACCAAACACCCCTTCTCCACAGCACCACTGCTGCCTCTGGGATGCTGCAGTGATGATTTCTACCTTAYTCCCCTGATGTCTGAACGGTGAAATCTCTCATTTGGAAGCCTCTGCTCAGACTCTGCAGTGCTACTGATTTATAACCCTTTGTACAGGCAGCCGGGTCTGCAGCAAGCAGAGAAACAGCACAAACAGCCKGGGCTTAGCTCTGCTCCCGCCCTTTGTCTTGGAGCTGCAGGAACAACGCAAAGCCCCAGGGAAAAGGGGAGAAAGCAGTGTTGTGCAACCCTCATCTGCTTCTTTCCTGAAGCTTCAGGGCTCTTGCAAGGTAGTTTCCTTGTTTTCCCAAGCTCAGCGTGCTGCATGCCATAAACCACACCATTCTACACAGCTGAATTTTTRAGAACAGTGTAGGAAGAGGCTGTAAGGCTGTGCCTCTCTAGACTTTGTAGCCTCCAGGTTTCTCACCTGTGGAGACAGAGCAGACATTCAGTGCCGAAGATATTCAAAGATTTGGGCAGGAACKCTAGCACCTRTCCTGAATTCAGAGCTCAGCAAGGMRGATGCAAACAGATGTGGCAGTRTTAGCTCCATCCCCAGAGCCCCCAMTATAACTYCTACATGGGYRAAGGGAGGGGGACAGGCAGGGAGACCATCCAGTGTCTCCCCATCTCTTCACCTTCAGTTCTCACAGAAGGAACATCACACCCTATTTCCCCCTGTARTCAGAGGGACAATCTGTTTTTCTAAGCCTGATGAACTAGCAAAACATCTCAGCAATTCTGGGSATCTGCCTGTGTGATCCAAAACTAGAAAGTACTCATAGTCCTTCATCAGTGCAGCAAATGAACAGATATGCTTGTGGGTTCTGAGAGGAAAACCAGGCCAGTTGCTGGTGCCAGCAGGCAGCTCCCAGTTCCATGGGGGTGCTGTAACAGTTCACAGGCTCCAGTGGTGGCTCTCAACACCCCAGGCTCATCACATTTGCTTTTCCAGCTGAGAAAGGCCTAGGGTATCCTGTGCTCACAAACCACAATGGAGCACAGACCCAGTCAGAAACCCTGGGTTGCATCACACAGTCACACTGGAAAAATTCTGTCTTCAATTTTCTTTCCAAATGGTTGCCCTAAGCCCTAATCAGCACAGTCATGTGAAAGGCTGAGAACAAGTTGCAATCGGCAGAAAATGAGTGGAGATTTGCAGCTAGTACAGTCCTGTAACTCAGGAAATGCAGAATATTCCCAGCTAATTGGTACAACACTTGAGATCAACAGAAACATGTATTTCCATAACAAGTGTGTGGGAGAGAGCTCCGAGTTCCACACCTCACACACAGCAGGGACAAAACAGCTCTGCCCTGGAATTGCTTGGGGTCTCAAAATCAACACTTGGCCAGTTTGAGCAAATTTGGAGAAAAGCAAATTCRAAACGGCTGCTCTTTCAAACAGTCATCAATTCCTAGTGGGACCAGTCCTTGCTGGCTCTCCCCTGGGGCACTGGCACTGGCTGCACCTAAACTTTGCAATTTAGAGAGAAGCCCAACAACCAGGACATCTCCTGCTTGCTGATCCCCACAGCAGTGCTGCATTCTCACCTGTTCAACAGGTTGTTCCTGCTGACCATCCTCAGGAAGCCAGTTGGATCACTCATTGAGTTCAGCTTGTTATTCATCTCCTCAAACTGCTGGTCCATGATATCCCCAGCTTCACTCTCTGTCTCACTGCTAGCACAGGCTCTGGGGGGGAATCAGTGAGATGAAGGGGTCATTGATGCGAGAAAGAACAACAGCTTGATGACAAATGCTCGGCCAGTTTGAGCGAAAATGTTTTTCAAACGGAACAACAACCAAACCCTCATGCCAAATCTTCCCTGSCTTGCCTTTTGTCAGGCATATAAGACATTACAAGCCCCATCTCCTGCTCTTCTGGGATTTCTCGTGGTTTAATGAGTGAGTGGTAAAAAGCAACTTAGGAGAAAAAAGGGAAAAGAAAATGTTGTCAACAGCTTCTCCCTGCACATTTTTCTTCCAGCTGAGGCATGCTCAGCTCTGAGTCCTGGCACAGTTTGGAGTAACACTCACAGCTCCTTAAAGAGGCAAAAATCTTGAGTTCATGAACCCAAAAGAGCAGGTCACATGTGCTGCCTAAAGAGAGGGGAGTCTGTCCCAACACAAGTTCAAGCAGATTTTAAAATCCCTTACACTTCTTTTTTTTTTTTTTTGCAAGAACACGTTACTTTGCGGATTAATTAGACCAGCTGAAAAGAACCCTTTCTAGCAAAACTGCTACACAAGGCTCAACTGCAGATCTCAGTTGTGGATCTTGTTTGTGTATCTGCATGTCTACAGGGTAAGACTCAACAATCAACATGTGGGCTCTAAATTATTTACTCAGCTACAGCCACAAGCCACATAGCAGGGGGTGGTTAGAATTCCTACAGTATTTGCAGTTTTTCAAAGCAAACCRTTGAAAGAGAATTAATTACACTGGAAACTGTAAGCAGGATGAAATCTGCCCAAATACAGGCAGACTTGGCACCTGCCTCCTCATCCAATCTATAGATTCACCACACAGCCTGTGGGTTTGGAGCTTATTTGATGTGCTTTGTTTGGCAGAAAAATAGTCATGGATACAAAAAAAAAAAGCCATTTTTTTGTTGTTTTGCACTGAAAATTTGCCCCTTCTCTGACTCTCAGTTCTTAGACTTCTCAGGCAATTAGCTCCTTCCAAAATGTTATAAATTCAGGTGGGAGAGCAGAAACCAGGATATTAGACCCCTTCATGCCAACTCACCTGGTATAGTAGGAATCCACKCCCAGAGCCTCCCGCACGCTGGAGATGTGCTGCTCCAGTGCTGAGTTTGTCAGTGTCTGCAGGGCCACGCTGTTGGCTTCATGGAAGTCCCCAGCATTTTCTGTCAGGCTGTCACCCARATAATACTCATGGAATTTCAGAATTCCTGCAAGGCACCAGAATAAYGAGGTTATTTCTGCAGGGCAAGAACAGCACTGCCAGCAGCTGTCTAAGAAGACAGCACAGCCCCAAGCATTTGGCATTTCCAGCAAAACTGGGGCAAAGAGTTCTGTGCCAGGTCTTCACTGAACTTCTCCAGCATTTCCAGCCTTGCTTTTAAAATCTGGGTTTGTACTTTGCAGATAATGGCTCARAGGTACAAAGGCAGAGCAGAGCTTTTATGAGATGCTCAGAATGTTTTTGCTATTGCAGCACTCATGAATTATAAAGCAGATCTTCCATGTAAGCCCCTACTACAGTAATTCACATTTCAATAGATGCACATGAAAAATATCTATTAACAGCCTCTGAGCACATGAACTGAACACACAAGACTCAAATGCTAAAAAAGTGTTGCTACTGCAGCAGAACCTCCTCACATCACACACAGCGATTTCACTTTATAAAAGGAAAGAAGATGGATTAAAGCACATTGAATTATTAAAAGATAGCATTTCACAATGGGTAAACCAGATAAATGCCATTCCCTGTTTTGCTGTGAATTCTTCCACTGGTACTGCAGATAAAACCTTGCTACCTTCAGACCGGTCTATTATTCCTGATATAATTAATTCTGCAGCCTGTGATCAACAGTAAAAGGCTGCTCTGGATGCCTCAGCAGCATCAATTATTACACCAGTTAGGGAAAAGCAGAGGAACAAAGAATAAAGCAACTCCTCCTGCAGCAACAGCAGCAAACATAGCAACAGCCAAGAGGCTCTGAGGTTCCACATCAGTGGGATAATGAGGACCCTGGGCTGCCACTGRAGCTGCTCCCTGTGTCAACAAACAAGAACAGGTCACCATGGCTGGGCCAGAGTCACCACTGAAGAGCTCCCGGCAAAGCTTCTTGAGCAGAACCCCTGAAGCACCACAGTCTCCTTCCCACCTTCAAAGAGGCAGCCACAAACCCATAGACTCAAAGACTCAGTTTTCTCAGTTTGGGCAATGAGGGACTGATCGTGAGACCAGCGGCAATCCCTACACTTGATCCATGTAATTTTAATAAGCTCAGCCTGATAGTGATATTATAGACTTATTGGCATTTTATTCCACAAACTACAGGCCAGAAGAGCCAATTAATGACTGGATGCAGAGCAGGACAATCCCATCTTACAYTCAGACATGCAACGTTGCAAAACGCCCCAAAAATCGTCTCTTCCAACCACTGTCATCCCATCGAAGTCAGGCATGTGTGAGTGTTTGCTTCTTTTTCTAAAGCAGTTTTCGTGCAATCTAAATAGTGCTTTTTATCTCTTTAGCTTTGTCATGGTGAAGGGCTGCAATTATTAAATTATATCCAGAAAGAACTTGTTAAAATTTACAGTCATCACTTTATTAGATAATGAATAACAGCTGCCTGCAAAAAGCAATCCTCTTCAAATTAATCCTCCTTGCTCCTCTGTGATAAGTGTTTCCACATTCATCTGAGGATCAGGCAGTTCAATGGCATATCAGGAAGTGGGGATGCCCTTCTGTTTTCTGCAATCCACTTCAGTGAATAAACCTTAAAAGCTTTTGGAAGAATAAAGCATGGAAATATAATTAAAGCAGGGATTCTTATGCACAGAAGATTTTCATACAGCCAACATACTTGGAATTTCATTACTATTCTGTTCTGCCCTGTGGGAAATATATACAGATTGGAGGTTGAAAAATGGAAATATTAAACATGTGAAACATTTCCATCTCCAGGTGAACATCTAAGTCCTGAATAAGCACTTCTGTGTCATTACTGCTGTGGCTATGCCATAGCTTTTAGTCTATTCAGCTTTAAAGTATTAGATGGAAATTACTCCCTCCGACATTCACGCGGGTCCCAAATCCATTCCTTAGCTACAAACAGTACAATTCTCCTTTTTTTCTAAAGCTTGTTCCCAGGCTCTCATGTCCAAAAAGGAGCTCACCTGCCCCAGGAGCCAGCAGCCAGCTGTACAGATAACCTGCAGCCAGCGAGTAGTAGAGAACAAGTCCCCTCTGGCCATTCACWGTCTCCAGGACCTGGTCAAGGGTCACAGGAGAATAGGGATCTGAGTCCTGCTGCCCAGTCTGACGTTCCACAAGCAGGTCAGCAAAAGCCCTCGTTCGTCCTCTCTCAGCTACTGCCAGTGCCTCATCATGGTGACCTGAAAGGACAAAGCCATATCACAGACRTGACATAGAACAGGGACAGCTGCTATCCCAACCCCAATGGAAACCTGGGGAAGCAGTGTCACCATTTCCCAAAASAGCAGTCTGTGCACTGGAATACAGTCCCACGGAACACATCTGGTGCAGGCAATTACACAACAAGGCACAGAAAGGCAAATCAATGGAGAAAGTGAGGAAGGCTCCCCAAAGCCAAAGCCAGACACCCATATTGCTGTCCTGGAACAGAAATGGAGCAAAGGACATAGCAGGAGCTGCACCCYACAAGTCCAGCTGAACTCCTGGCATGAGCCTGGAGCTCAGCCTCAGCATCTGAAGGCATCTCTTACCCAGACTGACAAGCACTCGCTGCAGGGCCTGGTAGGAGGATGTCTGCAGGTCAAAGAGTGACAGCTTGTAATCTGTGCTCAGCTGCACCTCGTGYCGGATGGTTTCAAACAGCGCCGAGGCCCGGTACAGCTGGGAGGGAAAACAGCACAGTGACTTCCTTATGGACACTACCTGGGAAAGCAGCAGGATCCAGGGCCAGGATCCCCTCAGGCACAGGAGATGGTACACACCCTGCCTGGGATGCACCATTTCCTTCCCTGAGGACCCAGAGGGCATGGAGGACACAAGCCCCCCAGCATGTGGCAGACCGTGCTATACCTGGTGCTGGGACTCCTCCAGGTTCCCACTCGCCCAGAGGGAGAGGCCAAGGCCATGACGGATTTTTGCTTCATCTTCTCGGCGTCCCAGCTGCTCTGCCAGCCTCAGTCCTGAAAAGGAGTCAGAGTGAGAGAGTGTCAGAGGGGAGAAGTGGCCTCAGTGCCACGGGGCTCCTGTGACAGCTGTGGAGCTGCCAGCACTGGGACAGCAAGCAGGGGAGCACCGGTGGTGGGACAGTGAGCAGGACAGGGACAGCAGCAGGACAACGAGTGGGGCAGTACCAGTGCCAGGCAGCTGCCAGCCCTCACATCAGCACAAGGTGCCTTAGGGAGACAGACACTTCATGGACTGAGCCCTCCCCAAGTGAGGTTAAGGCACCACCAGACCAAAAAGCTCAGCTTTTAAACCCTAAATGCCACACAGGCAAACAAAATCACACTGAGCTGTCAAACACTGCCAGAAGACACCTCTTGCCACATTACTGGCTTGTTTCCCACCAGCTCTCCTTGGCCCTCTGGCAGGCTCTGCACACGTTATGTGCCGAGCCAGAGCAGAGGGCAGGGGCCTGCCCTCAACGACCTGGAGCTCATTTCACTTCCAGCAGCACATTTCTGTGTTGTYCCCACTTCCATCACACTCCAAAGCTCTCGCCTCAGTGGCCCCTGCTGACAACAGGGACACCTCCTCTGAGGCTCCTCAGGTTTCCCCCAGCCTGGGGAGCAGGGCTCTGGCTGTCACCATGCCGCTCCAGCATTCCCAGGCTAAGCAGGAATTCTGCAGCACACCAGGAGAAGGAGCTGTGTTTCATTCCTCCCCTTCCAACAGCATATTGGAATCCTGCCAAGGTCAGTTACACGAAAACCAAACYAACTGATGTAATTCATCCTTTGGCCTCCAGCTTCATACACTCCAGCCACATTACTCATCTGCTGCATCAGAGCCACAGCTCCATCAGCTGCTGCCTGCATGCTGGAACCCCTCACAGCAGCACAGTTCCCAGGACAGCACTGACCCAGCACTCAGCAGTGGCAGACACCTTCTTGACACCTCAGGCCAAATCTCCCTCACCTCTCTATGGAACAGCACTTGTTTCCACTCCATTTAGAGGCACTCACCCACCTTGTCTCACTCCCAGGTAAACACGTAAGGAAGAGCCAGGTGGCTACCAGCAAGGCATAAATCTCTCCCAAGAGACCTCTCAGGATCAGAGATATTCATCACAATCCCCAGTGGTTTTCCCAGAGCCAGATCCTGGTACACAATGCCATTTATAGAGAAGGTTCAGGCACAAATGAGCTTCACAAAGAGACTSCTAGGTACAGTCTGGATCAAGCTCTGAGGCACCTAAGATGCCTGCAGGAAGGCACAGATCATGCTCTGTCTAGGGGACACCAAGAAGGCACCAACTGAGATGCCATGCTGACCTTAACTGCTCACAGACAGCTATTTACATGGATGTTCAGGAGTAGCTATGGATGTCTGCAAGAGCTTCAGCATCAAAGGCCACTGTCAAACACGTGGAGCTATGTTCACAGTACCTCACCTCTCCATGTCTTCAGGTCTCCCCTCCACCCTTCTTGTGTAACTCTGTCTCTTACCTTCCTGCAGGTACATCACAGCCTGAGAATAGTTCTGCAAAGCATGATGAGTCCTCCCCAGGCTGCTGTAAGACACAGTTTTGGCCACCAGGTCRTTCATTTGCGCTGCGATGCTGAGATGCTGCTCCTGATAAACCACTGCCCTCTCGTAGGTGCCCAAGGACTCGTAGGTAAGGCCCAGGTTGCCRTAGGCACGGCCCTGGCCAGCGGGGTTGTTGGTCTCCTCGGCGATCTGCAGGTCCAGCTGGTGGTACTGCAGGGCGGTCTCGTACTCGCCCATGTGCTGGTACACCCCGCCCAGGCCGCAGGCAGCGTCGCTCTCCAGGGCTCGGTCCTTCATCTCGCGGGCGATGCTCAGCTGCCGCTCCAGGCACGAGATGGCTTGCTCGTAGTTGCCCAGCTGGCTGTGCAGGCTGCCCAGCTCCCCGTAAGCCTGGGCTTTGTCAAATGCCTCCCCCAGCTCGTGTGCCACTACAAGCCTCTTCTCAAAGCACACCAGAGCCTGCTGTAAACTCCCCATAGCCCTACAAGGGAAGAAAACAGCAATGTTTATTTTGCTGGTATTTCCTCRAGATAAAGGGTTTTGCCATTTCCCTCGGAGGTCAGTTCAAACCTTTCAGGCAGAGAACGCTTCCCCACAAGAGACAACCCCAGCATCTTTGAATCAACCTCCTCCTCTCGGAGCAAAGCGACATCAGCTTCCTAATTTGAGGTGTCAGCATAGTCCTCAGCACGCACAGGACTCTCCAGCTCTCTGTGTCACAGCTTTGTGAGCGTGTGCCAGGCCCCCCAACACCCTCCATCAGTAACACACCATGCCGACTGTACTCGTACAGGCATTGGAACACACGTGCAGCTCCTTACCTGTGCCCACTGCCCAAGCCTCGGTAGGCTTTTGCCTGATCTTGCATACGGTTTAAGCTTTGAGCCACAGACAGGTACTGTTCGTAATACTTTATAGCTTCCTCAAAATCTCCCAGAGCCTCGTAACAATCTCCCAGGTTCCCRTACGCTCGGCCCCGATCTAACACGGACTCGTTGCCACTGAGCTGCTGCAGCATGGCCAGCTGCTGTTCGAAGTAGCCAATCGCCTCCTCCATGACATTCATGTTCATCTTGGTAATGCCCATGTTACCGTAGACTTGGGCTTCGATGCCGGGGTCCTTCAGCTTCTGCCCCAGCTCCAGCTGCTCTTCATAGCACTTGAAGGCCATGGTGTACTTGCCAAGTGCCATGTACACCGCAGCAAGGTGACCGTGTGCTCTGCATTCGCCCGACATATCCCCCAGCTCCTGGTACACCTCCAGCTCCTGCGTGTGGTAACCTAAAGCTTTGTCACACTTCTGCACCATCCTGTATGCGGAGCCCAGGGCTGCATAGGCATTGGCTTCCAGTCTCCTGTCTTTAACGTGATGGGCCAAGCTCAACTGCTGCTCATAAAATTTTATTGCACCATGTACATCTCTTTTACAGACAAAAATATCCCCCAAATTCCCCAGAGCTCGGAATTTAGCCTGGGAATTGTTCAGAGACTGTGCCAGGGACAACAGGTACTTTTGACACTCCTCTGCTTTGTTGAAGTCCATCAAGGCTTTGAAAGCCAGGCCCAGGTTGCAATAGGCTTTGGCTTGGCTCAGCTTGTCATGAAGATCCTTCGCCAAGGCGAGATCCTGCTCGTAGTAYTTAACAGCCTCCTCATAGTTGCCGAGGCAATAATGGGCATAGCCAAGGTTATGGCAAACCTTCCCCTCCCCTTCCATGTCCTGCAGCTCCGGGGACAAGCGCAGGTACTGCTCGTAGTACGGGGCCGCYTGCACGTACTCTCCTCGCGTGCAATGGAAGTTGCCCAAATTGCTGAGGGCTCGCGCTTCGCTCTGGATGTCCCGCAGCTCCCGGGCGATGTTGAGATGATTTTGGTAGTGCTGCAGGGCACGGTCGTGGGCACCCAGCGCCTGATAGGCAACAGCCAAGTTGCCGTGGGTGGATGCTTGAGAGGCGCGGTCGTTGACTTCCATGGAGATCTGCAGCTCCTGCCGGTGGTATTTGACAGCCTGGTCGTACATGCCCAGGGCGTTGTAAGCGTTGCCCATGTTGCCGTAGGCCCGGCCCTGGGCCGCGTAATCGCTCAGCTCCTGCGCGATGGACAGGTGTGTCTTGTGCAGCCGCAGCGCCGTGTCGTAGTCACCCTTCATCTGGTGAATGATTCCTGAGAAACAACAGAAAGCGGCTCAGTAAATAAACAAACACACTGCCCTGCACCAAGGCTGTGCTGCAGCCTGTCCAGCCTTTCCCTGGCTCTTCACACCAGGCAGCCCCATCCCTTCCCAGAGCCCCTGAACAGCTGAYGGGGCACAGCCCTTCTGAACAAACTGCCTTCTTTCTTCTAAGAGGGAAATCCTGAGGAAGGTTTAGGTTTTATGTTATACAAAAGCACATATTCAGCACAACAACCGGACAGTCTGGCCTTATAAAATTACTGTTTTTTTTCCCTAAGTGATACCCGGTGGCTCCAGAGCTCAGACTCAACACATTGAGACAGCACTTGCAGTTGCTTTTCAATTTCAGTCGAATCATCTTGCATTTGTTATGAGACATGGGAACAGGAGCTCTGATTGTGCTGATGATACCACCTACACTTCAATTAAACTCTGTGCTAATAATGCCTGTGGCTACTTTGCAAACACATGTGAACAACCCTGGGGGTATGGGAGCCACTGAAGGACGCCCTGCAAATGTTTTTTGACATTAATTGCAGAAGCTTCAAGAGAAAATATCTGGTRTCTTTGGACAACACAAAGAGCACATGAAGAGAGGTACAGAAGTTCTCTTGGAGCTGCAAAGAGGCAGCACCGAGAGACTTTAAATTGTGTTCTATTAATAAAGTGAAGTGTCTTCTCTCCATCACAGTGGGAACCCTTAAAAGCTGCAAAACCAGGTCCCYCCATGGAGCCTGAGTGTTTGGAAATACCAGATGCTTTGCAAAGGTTGAGAGCCTGAGACTTCTGGTTAAACTCCACATCTCCTTGTTGTGAAAGGCTGATAGCCTGTGCTTTGCCCTCAGTCCATCACCTCATCCTAGAGAGCAGAGTTCTCCCTGCAGAGCACTGCAGCAGCTGGGCTCTGTTACATCCATGTCTGTCCTGATTTACAGGATCGTACACTGAAGGGTGCTCTCCATCTGCATCAGGGAAATGCAACAGAAAATGTCTGTTGCTTGAGCAGAGAGGCCAACTCTAACATTCTGGCCTGGAAACACACATTTAGATACATTTTTTTGCCTGTCAGCATGGTTATTTTGATGAGGTTTTGTTTTCCATGTGGATTAGATGAAAGAGACAATTAAGACTTGACTTTTTGATTGGTACTGGATGCTTTTTAAACAACAGTAATAGATCGTCTCAACAAGAACTGCATGTTCCCTTTCTCCAGTATAACTGAACTCTGACAGAGAAGACAAAAAATACAGCCAAATAACAGCTGAAACGTGAGACCCCATGCTCAGACGCTAGGAGAACTATTCTAACACAAAGTGTGGAGTGGCTGAGTCAGCATACCAACTGAAAGTTATATTTAGGCTAAAATCCAACACTGAAAAACATTCTCTGCTGCACCATAGTCCAGCTCTCACATCTCTGTGTCTCCCCAGGACAGGTCCCACACTGGAGCAAAGATGAGGAATGCAGTTTGTGCTTTGCTGTTCATTCAAGGCCTCCTCTCTCAGCCCTCCTGCCTGCTGGGTGCTGTCACACTCACAGAAAACCTTGTCAATGCTCACTGCTCTCTCATGCTAAGCAGCCYACAAGCACTTTTGCCTCACAAACCTATTTTGCCCCACGGATCTGCCTCAATTTGTGTAAAGGAGGAGATTTGCAACACTAATTACAAAGCTGTGACTGTTTTGTTTTCTGCAGTTCCCCTTATCTTCTTCATTCAGCTCCTGAAGACTCAGCTACTCAGAGAAATTAAGTAATTCATCAAGCTATTTTCAATTACCTGCTGCTGATAACATCAGACTACAATTAGCATCTACAAATGAACCAAGTGCCAACTGCCAGGCAGAAACAGGAGCTGATTTACAGCGTGGGGCAGCCTGCAAGGGCTGGGATTCAGGAGCTGCCAACAAACACTTATTTTGATATCCCAGCACCAGCCCTGCTCTGCTGTTCCCAGCCAGCTTGAGAGCACATCCTGAACGACAGCTGGAGCACTGGCAGCACAACTGCCACAGCCATGGCAGAGATGGGAGTATGTCCTTGGTCGCACTCACATCTGGTGCTGGGAAGCAGGAGAAACAGCCTTCACTTGATTGTAACTCGGTCTCACCCAGCCTGCCAGCAGCATGCCAATGCTGCTCCTTAGCAGAACACAAGACTCCTACACTCTAGTATTTCAGTSAGTATATTTAGAAAACAAACTTAGTTAGGATTTAACCCATCTGTCCTCAACTTACAAGGCAGCAATGTATCGACATACCCTGCTGACGAGCTCACAAAGAAATGGCCAGGCAACAAGCCACATCAGTTCTTGCATTAGTGCAAGAATTACACTTACTCCTGACTCCTGAAGAGCTCCTAAAATGCATTTTGTCTTTTCATTTCCCTTTTGCTAAGAGTTTGTGCTTTCTAGTGTTTTTCTAAGGAACTTAATAATTGAGCACGGACTACATTACGACAGCACGGAATCTGCCAAGGGCCTGTTTAATTTATTAAGGCAATCTGGTGAAACTGGGGTGACTTAAGAAGACAGCACACAGCAGATCTCCTGCATCCTGGCAGCAGTGTTCCCTGACAAATTCTACTCCATGTCAAGGCCTTACCTAGATTGGAAGAGGCTCTGCCTTCAGCAGCTCGGTCCTGCAGGCTCTCGGCAATGTGCAACTGCTCTTCGTGGTACTGCTTAGCCCTCTCCAGGTCCTGCATACATCTAGCTGCATGGCCCAGGCCAGCATAGGCTCGCATCTCAATGGCCTTCTCAGCCAGCTCCTGGGCCAGCTCCAACACATAGTTGTGGTAGGACATGGCTTTGTCGAAGTTCCTGCGGTAGTGGTAAGCGCTGCCCAGGTTGCTGTAGGCTCGAGCTTCCTCCCGCTTGTTCCCCAGCTCCTTGGCGATCTTCAGATGTTGTTCGTGGCACTGCACTGCATTTTCAAAATCCCCCATTGCAATGTACACTGCTCCCATGTTGCCCAGCTCCCGTGCCTCGGAGAGCTCATCTTTGGACTGTTTGGCAAGGAGGACACACTGCTTGTGGCTGGCCAGCGCATTTGGGTAGTCCCCGATGGCCGTGTACACGTGGCCCAGGCTGCTCAGTGCYGAGGATGCTGCCTGCAGGGGTAAGAGAGACAATGTAAGGGCAAATATTCATGGAAACAAGGCAGATGGCCCAATCCTAGAAATCTAAACCATGAGAGGCCATCCTGAAGAAAGAATGTGACTATCAAGTAGAAAGCCTGCTCTCTGCAGTTCTACACCCCTCAGGGCAGCTTAGGTGAAGGCAGCAGGAATGGATGGGGCTCACTCAGGAGGACATGGGTTGGACTACATCTTTCTTTGAAGTATGCAGTGTGTGTTTGTACCTGGCAGAGGGGAAGAACAGCACCACAAAGATGCAGAGACTATTAGGAGACAGAGAGAGTGACCGCTGCAGTTACCAATATCCTTCCATACCTCTGCTTCAGCAAGCACACCATGATCCAAAGAGCACAGTTCTTATTGAATAACATCAGGGTCCTGAGMCCCCCACAACCTTGGGAATGCAGCAAAGACAACAGCATTTCAGTAGCTGRAGCCTTTGTCCCTTAGGTACATCTTGCCTAAATATAGCTCTRTGAAAATCCCAATTCTTACCACCGAGAAACAGCTGTATTTAACAAGAGAAATTATCTGAGAAGCAGATTCTTCTGCCCACTGCATCTCCCARGACACAGACCTGCCTTCCACCTGGCAGAGCCAGAGCACCCAGCAGTCAGCAGGGCAAGGAGCCAAGGGCAGGGATGTGTTCCTCACACGCCTGCTGCCTCAGCACGGCTGTTCACTCCAGCGTGTGACCCCGACTCCTCTCAGCTCCTCCACGTGCACTTCACAGCTGCTGCTGTGACCCAATTCCACACCTCCCTAAAGGAGCTGTTGGGGTGAGGGCTCCTGGAGGGCAGTGCTGGTGATGGCTCCAGCTCTTCCTGAGCACAGATCAGCCCAGYTGCTCCTGCTGTGGCCACAGGCAAAGCTGGGACCAGCTCCTGCTCCTTGCTGGTCARACTGGCTGCAGCATTGGGGCTCCCCAGCAGCACAGTGACATAATTTCTTGGCTGAGATAYGAGGGAAAGCTCTCACAGAGTCTGAGGGGACCTGTTTGGAGGCTGCTACAAAACCAACACAAAAATTGTTGCTCTGAATTTTAATCCATGTTTACACAAACCTTCATGAAGCTTAACATACACAGAGCATTGAGTCATTTACAGCCTAACTAGGGGAAAAAAAGGAGAAAAAGCAGATATATGGAGCCATCCTGCACAAGCCCAGACCAAAGTGGGGCCCATTACAAGGCTCAAGATGSACCAGAGCTCCCTTCATCCTCCTGGGGAGCAGTGTGCCCACTGCTGCAGAACAAGGCAGCAGCACCACCTGGGCCAAGCCAAGCCTGGCACAATGCAATAAGAACTGATCCAGCCTGGAAGTTCTGGAAGACCAGCCGCCACCAGCAACAGAACTTCTGTTATTGCTGGGAGGAGAATAGAAATGTCTTTCTGGAAAGCAAGGAGTCAGTGAAATCTGGTGTCTCCTGGGGCTGCTAAAATAAAACAAAGTGGACATCCATGCGTGCAGATTGCTGAGGAGATGAGCTCTGGCTAAAAGCCATCAGGCAGAGACTCAGATGATGTTAATGGGCTATGGCTGGGGAAAAGAGGCATAAATGGAAAGCAGCAGATCTCAGATTGTGCACAAGAGAAACTTGACAGAAGCAGGGACTGCTCATCCCGCACATGGGAAGAAATCTTTAGGATGTCTCCTAGAATGGGAAGCAGATGATAGRAATTGAAATTTGTGAGGCTGGAAATGTTTATTCTCAGAGCTCTTAATCCCTTTGCCCAAGAGCATGCCCAGGCTCACATTAAAGACCTAGAATGAAGGGTACAAGCTTAGCAACCATTCTCAGAGCATGCAAAGACACTTGGCTGACATGCCTGAGTGCCCAGGGCTGGATTGTCCAAACCAGAATGTGGCAGGAGGACTGGTGAAGCAGAAAAGAAAAATAARTTGAAGGAGGCAAAAAGAGAAATAGAAAATGAAGACTGAAGGACTGACAAGAAATAGCACAACTTGATTAGAAAGYTGGGACTGCTTTTAGAGGCTGGGCTGCAGCTCACCCAGACACAGCATCCTCTGATGTGTCCTTCACCCCAAWGGTCCTCACGTTTTATTCTGCAGCAGCTTCCACTGTTACCTGATCTGAGAACAGCACTTCTCAATCCTCTCTGAGTCTGCATGAAGACAGCCTGTGACACTTCTGGCTTCCCCAGGCTGGGGCCGAATYGTGCAGCAGCAATCCTCCAGCAAGATAAGCATCAGTGCTCTGTTTGCTCTGGGGGCACTCAGGGGAGCTTGCCCTTACAGCAGTGTTAAAAAACTCTTTGGTGATAATGATAATATCTACAGGGACTCACTTCAGGATTAGAAATAGGATCCCAGAAGATAAATGAATTGCTGTATATTTAACAGAATCCTCCACACACCAGGATCCACCAGGAACCCCAAGGGGCTCACACACAGAGCCAAGAGGGACAGGGTGTTCCCACGTCACTGGCAGAAGAGTCCTGTTGTGGCAGGGAGAGCACAAGGCTGACACATGGGGAACAGATTCCATCTCTGCTAGCACAGAGCTCTGCCTGGTAGCAGGGTGATGGGAGACTACAGCTTTGTACCACAGGGGGTTTGCATCGGCAAACAAAGAAAATCAATGTTTTATGTATCTGACAAAGACAAATTTTACAGCGGGGGTTGCTTACACCTTCAATTAAGTAATTTATCACTTTAATAGAAAGCAGATTCTTCTGCCACTGAGCTGAGGCACAGAAGGGAGCTCTGAAAAACGTTCCTAAGTGCTGTCTTWTTCTCAGAAGCAACAGCCAGCTCAGGTTTTTCAGCTGAGTAAAGCAGAGTCTGATGTTAAGCAGATGTGTATCACAGAATGGCACCTGGCAATTTGGAGAGATGCATTCCTTAGGTATTGCACCCTTGCTGGAGAATGGTCATTTCCCAGTCACATTACATTTAAACAAGTCTTCCCCTGACTGCACAGCCTGCTTAAATAAGAACACTGTATAATCATCCTAAAATGGGTGAGGTGAAAATGYTCTGCCTGGTACCTCACTGTAAGATACCCTTAATCCCTGAACACAGACACTAATTAGGATTGATCAGAGATGGAGCATGCCCTGCTGCACACTGTTTCTTTCAACTTCCCTTCTCCCTCTGGGCACAGAGTAACAGCAGCTTGATCCTACAGAAGTAGTAGAGCTGTATCCTGCAGATCAGCCATGCATATTCATCACAGCTGYACAGGGGGCAGGCAGCAGCACCTCTGAAAGCCACGGTACCTCCCAATCTCCATCTCCTCAGCCCCTCACCTGCACCCCCTTGTTCTTGAACACAAGCAAAGGTGAGAATTGAGAATGCTTTGGGGGTACTGAGGGGAGTAGATWGTTCCAGAACACACCCACAGAGCTCTGAAAGCACAGGCTCATACACAGCACAATCTGCCTGTGCCCTACARTGATACCAGGGACACATCCCAACTCTTTCTGTACAGGAGCTGCTTATTTTACAGGTGAGGACTGAGTAACTCCTGTGCCGCAAGCAGGCCAGCATTGTGACAGGGATAATTCCAGGGCCTATTAAAATGATCATTTGTGGTAAATTGCACTTTACCTCCTTTTCTATTAAGCCTCTTTATAATTTCCTCAGAATCCACAGCTATTCCTCAGCCTGGCTTGGACAACTACTGATTTATGCACTAAGACTGTGCCCCATCAAAATGAAAACTTGTCCTTCTCTCCTCCCTTARAGGTGAGGCTGATGTGCCAAGACCACATCTAGATTTGTTCTTTGTGTGCCATGCTTTTGAAAATAGAAARGAAGCAGCAGGCAATATCCTCTCTTCTTGTATATGATCAGCACGCAGAAAGAAGAAATGGATTTGCTTTTAGGTAATTATTTCCTGGGGGAAAAATACATTGAAATCAATATCCCTGCCAATCAATATCTCTATTTATTTGTAGATGGTCTCAGTCTTTTACATAAAAGCTACCAAAGAGAAAAACCTAAAAAAGCTAAAGCCATGGAACAGAAACACCAGTATCTGAAAGCCTGAAAGRAGCTTTGTAACTACTAACTGAAAGAGAACAACCAGGAATTARTGACACAATAGAAAGACTCAAAATACACGGAATAAAGAGATGGTCCCAGCCCCCACTTGATTAATGGGTGAAATCCACAGGTCTGCAGATGTCACAGAGCTGCTGACCATGACAGAGGCTGCCATGGACTGTGCTGACAATCTGCTCCCAGRCCTCTCTGTTCATTCTCACTCAGGAAATTGGTAATGTTTCAGAGAATTCACTCTCCCAGTTCCATGGCAAAACCATTGCACAAAGCACGTGAATCCAGGCAAACCTGAACACAACCAGGGACTTGACTGCCAGACCATTCACAGCCAGTCCTCTTCCTGAAACTAAAGGCTTCAAGGGGAATGCTGACTTTCAGCTGCTTATTTGGAGACTGAAATAATGCTGCTCCATTCCAATGAAAAATCCACTGACTCCATCTCCTCCATTACCATTTAGGAGCAAAGTGTCTGGTTCGACCCAGAACATTTGTAAAAGCAAACCTGGGCTAATACCTTTACAGAATAGTTTTGCAAATAGTTTTGCTCAAATTAGAAGGGTTTTGCTGGAAAGCAGAAGCAGCAACTCCCCCACTCCAGTTTTTACCAGTAAATCTGTCCATCAGMCACACTGACCAGGCTGKTCATGGTCACTGTGGGAGCTGGTGCAACACCCTCACCATGTGGGACCTGGGGCAGTGGGCTGCCTTCTGAGTGGGCTCTGCAGTGCTCCACTTCTTCCACAAAAGTCACACAAAGTACACCAGCCCAACAACACTATGAAGGACACCACAGCACTGAGCCTATACATCACCTGGGGCTGATATATCTTTACYCCAAGCAGCCCAAATTTGGTCACTTTTTGCACACAGTCTGAAAGGCTCCTGTGTGCAATCATTTTAGGGAGGACGGCTGACTTGACATTTTTAGTGGTGATGTAAGTAGT